GGACTTGACGGTGCCCGCCGCGGCCACCATCTGGGCCCCGTTCGAGCGGGCAGCACCCTTGCCAGCCTTCGGCACCTGCTGTGCCGTCAACGGGGCTCCTGCACCGGCTCCCGGGGGCGCACGGCGCAGTAGCGGAGCTGGCAGCCCGCGCCACTCCCCTACACTGCAGGAACCGGGCCTGGGCCTGGAGCTGCCCCTGACCCGGCGCCCCGCGCCCGACCCGGTGGGTGCCCTGCCCTGGCGGGCTGCACCCCAGACCTCCCTGCCCTTCCCCGGTGGTAACAGCAGCAGCAGCAGCACTGGTGCTGGTGGCACTGGCTTCCCCGCAGCCGCCTCGCTGCCCACCAGCGCCCCGCTGGACTCCCCGGAGAGCAAGACCATCCCGACCGCAGCCAACACCACCTCGTCCTCGACGCCATCCTCGGCAGCGACAGCCGTGGGCACCGCGGTTCCGGCCACAGTGTCTCCCGCGGCAGCAACCCCGGCCCCGGCGCGCGAGTGCGTGGTGTGCGCCGAGGGCGAGGTCATGGCTGCGCTCGTGCCCTGCGGCCACAACCTCTTCTGTATGGACTGCGCCATGCGCATCTGCGGCAAGAGCGCGCCCGAGTGCCCGGCCTGCCGCACGCCGGCCACACAGGCCATTCATATCTTTTCGTAGCGCGGGAGTCTGGGGGCGCGGCGGGGTGGGCGGCGTGGGGGCCGGTGGAGCCGGGCGCGCATGCTGCTGCCAAAGTGGAGCTTTAACTCGAGTCGCAGGTGTGGACACGGCGCGCAAGCCGGGTGCGGCCTCGGCGCGGAGCCAGCCGCGGTGCTGACCCAACCCCCCCGCGCGTGCGGGGAACAATAAACGCGAAAAGTCAGTTTGCACTTTTTTTTTTTTAATTCCTGGGGAAGGGGGCGGTGGTCCTTTTTTAAAGACCTCCCCACCCACCTTGCAAGTCCCAAAACCATGATTTGGAGCGGGAGGTCCCCCATCTCCGCGCCCTGCGGGGCGGGGCAGGGCAGGTGCGTGCGGGTCTGGGGGGGCTGGGCAGGGGGGAGGGCGAGGGCGGGGAGGGGACGTCGCAACCCGGAATTTCTAAATTTTTTGTTGTTCTGACAATTCCCTGTTTCCCTACTGCGGTTTCTTTTTTTTTTTTTTTTAAGATTTTTTAAAAGATTTTTTTGATGTTTTGTTGTTTATTTTTTACATTTTACCTCTTGTGTATATGTAGGAAATTTATAGGAAAATATGTACTTTATGGAATAAATTTTAAGAACTAAAATATATTTTATTTTAAATAAAGCAATGGACATTTAATCTTACACAGCTAAATTACTGATTATATATTTGCTGAGCGGGTTTAAGGGTTCAAAATTGTATCCAGAGTTTTATTTTTTTGACTCCAAAGCCTTCTTAATAAAGTGTTTGTATTCACGTGAGCGCTGGCTCAGCTTCCGTGTGGTGTGGGGCCCCTGGGGGGAATGGCCTGTAAGACCACCAGGGCTGGAGTGCAGGTCAAAGGGGCCCCGACTGGACCCACAGAACAGGAAGAACCTGCTGGGAAAGAAGGGGGCTGGGGTCTCCCATTAGGAGGTAAGGGTAACACTTTCCTGCCATCTGCTTCTCCATTCTCTGCAGGAGTTGGGGGGCTGGGGCGCACCTGCTGCCCGTGGGGGGCAGATCTGGGGGGCGGGCAGGGATAGGAGATTATTTCGCTTTGTGCACCTTGGCTTTTTACTGATGAGCAACCCTGAACCCCGACCCCGGCCCTAACCAGGCAGCAGCCCCTGTGGGTTGGGAAGACCCGGCCTCTGTCGCCATCGCGTGGCCGGAGCCGCACACCACAGGCCAGGCCGAAGTTGGGGAGCCCCTGGGTGGGGGGGGACACACACGCGCCCCGCTTCCTGGGCGTCCATCACCGCGAACTGACGGCCTTGGGGTCCCTGCCGCCCACGCAGGAGCCCCAGTGGGAGCCGACCCTCACTCGGCTTCTCTGTAAAACGGGAACCGGGCAGCCAGAGCACCCAGGGCAGCCAGGGCACCCGGGGCACCCGGGGCAGCCAGGGCAGCCAGGGCAGTCAGAGCACCCGGGGCACCCAGGACAGCCAGGAGAGCGATCCGAACACCCCCGGTCCCCGCGGACGCTGCCTGGTTGCCATGACGACAACCTCCCGCCTTGCTCGCTCGTGATTGGAGGAGGCGCTGCGTCACATGCTCTCGGTGGACCAATGAACAGGCGGCCCGCAGCCCTCGGCGGGAAAGAATGTTCCCGGACGCCCGGAGGGGACGCGCGGCTGCCATGACTGTCAGGGAACCCCACAGCCCCCAGAAGACGACGGTAAGGACGTCCTTTCTCGAGTTCCACGACGAATCCTCCGCAGAAGATTCCAGAAACTTCGTAAGACGGCGGCGTGAGAGCTTCTCCTTGAGGCGCTTTAGCCCTCCAATAGGAATCCATAGGGGGCGGGGGCCTGTGCCGGGGGCGGGGCCTGTGCCGGGGGCGGGGCCTGTGCCGGGGCGGGGGCGGGGCCTGGTCAGCGACCAGCCCTGCGTGGAGGCAGCGCATGCGCGGGACGGGGCCTCCATGGGTGAGTGGTGCCCTGGTGCCGCCGGGTGGGCGGGGTCTGACCCTAAGGGGCGGGGCAGTATAAGGAGGAGGGACGAGCTGGGGGCGGAGCCTGGCCAGGAGGGGCGGGGCCTCCTGTGGCATTGCGTCCTGAGAAAACCTGGCCACTAGGAACCTTCCAGAACGAACATGGGGCCCGGCTGCCCCCCGGCCCACACCCCGCGCTGACAAGCCGAATCCGCGCACAGAGCGGCCTGGCCCGGGGGCGGCTGGCGCCATGTTGGCCGTTGAGGTGCAGCTCGGCGCAGTGTGGGGTTAGAGACGGGGAGAGCGCGACGTCAGGCCGCGGGAGAAGGGGACCCGGCGTGAGGAAGCCACAAGGCCCAGGCCCCGCCCCGTGACAGCGCCGGCCAATGAGCTTGTGCCGGGCATGTGCTGCCCCCCCCCCCGCTCCGGCTCGCCCCGCCCCCGATTGCCCCGCCCTCTCTTCGGCTCGCCCCGCCCCTCCTCTGTTTGCCCCGCCCTGTGCCTGCTCGCGCCGCCCCGTATCCCCGCCCTCTCCTCGGCTCGCCCCGCCCCCTCCTCTGTTTGCCCCGCCCTGTGCCTGCTCGCGCCGCCCCCGATTGCCCCCGCCCTCTCCTCGGCTCGCCCCGCCCCCTCCTCTGTTTGCCCCGCCCTGTGCCTGCTCGCACCGCCCCCGATTGCCTCCGCCCTCTCCTCGGCTCGCCCCGCCCCCGTGCCTGCTTGCCACGCCCCCGGCCGAGCTGCAGGCCACAGTGACCAAGGAAGAGCAGGAGGAGCCCAGCAAGGAGCGGCCGGTGGGTGTTCGTCATCCGGGGATCCGCCCTAACCTGCAGCCGCCGCCGACTTGCAGCCTTCAGGTCAGGAGGCGACCTCGGTGCTGCTCCCTGAGATCAGGGGAGGGGACGCTGGGCGTGTGGATCCTACATACCCGATGGGTCGTGCACGCTGCATAAGGGACCCGGAGGCACTGGGCAGCCAGGGACAGGAGCGCCGAGGGCCCCAGGGACGGGAGACGGCTGGCCAGGGCGAGTTGGAGTCAGGGCTGGGTAGTGACCTCTGCTGGAGGGGAAGTGGAGCAGCCAGGACTTGAACCAGCACCCAGGGGGAATGCTGGCATAGCACGTGGCAACTTCGCTAGCTGCACAACGCACGGTTGGGGGGTAGAAGGTGGGGAGTGGGTGTTTGTCAAGCAGGAATTGGAAGCAGGCCTGCCCGTGCGTCTGGGTCCCCCGCCAGGCTCCTGGGCACGTGGCGGAGTATGTGGCTGGGGTGGAAAGGGTCTGGAAGGAGTGAAGGTGTCTGCAAGGCTTGTAGGGGAGACCCGTGGGGAGCTCCCGGGTCCGCCCTGGCCACTGTGGCTGGCCGGTGGGGGAGCGAACCAGTGGATGACAGACCCCTCACTCGCTCTGATTCTGACTTTTAAATCAGTGAAGCCTTAAAAGCTGGGTGTTTGAGAAAGGCAGCACACACCGGGCTTGGCATTCACGCACACACACACGTTCACTGAACCGGCGTGGGGTCGTGGCCCGGGAGGTGCTGTCAGCGCTGGGATAGGGTTCTGAAGGATGCACCTGAGCTGGGGTTGTGGACTCGTGGCGATGGAGGCGACACAGGGAGTGACAGACAGGAAGGGACAGTGGCCTGTGGCCAGCGGCTGGCCCTTCTGTGTGGCTGAGCTGGTGAGGTGAGGGCACGGCGTGTCCTGCTGTGGTTCGGGCACAGCAGTGAGAGATCTGAAGTCTTGCTGCTGTGAGAAAAGGAGTCGCTTGTATATGCCAGGCAGTGTGTGTGCGCGCCCTTCCCAGAGATTTCTAGAAGCCGCCTGGACTCTCGGGAGGGCCGGTCCATCTCCATGGGCCCTACTAGCATTGCTTTATCAAGACCAGGCAACTGCCAGGATGGCATGGTTGCAAATGTTGTTACAGGGGCCTTGAGCACACACCTGCTGGCAGCGAGCTGCGGGGTGGCCTGTGTGTGGCCTGCTCCCTGTTGGCCCCAGGGGCGGGGGGCGAGAGCAACACAGGCGTGGCACCCCTGAGAGGCCTCTTGCAGTGACCCCTCCTCAGAGAGGCAGGCGGTTCCCTGGTGTGGGTGAGGCTGCCTTGTCACAGGGACAGCAGACATACATACACACACACACAGAGGCTGGCCACAGACACACACACACACACACACACAGAGGCTGGCCACGTCCACAGACACACACACACACACAGACGCCAGCCACAGACATACACACAGAGGTCAGCCACCGTGCACACACACAGAGGCTGGCCATGTCCACAGACACACACACACACACAGAGGCTGGCCACGTCCACATGGCTTTAATGGAAGAGCACAAGACTATGTGAGGCGTCCCTGCCGGACCTGAGTGTTCCTCCCAGCTGTCCCCCAGCACCTCCCTGCCCAAAGCGGGACACCCTCTCAGGAGCCTTGGGTGCTCTGTAGCAGGTGCAGCGCATGGCCCAATTGCCGGCGGGTGGCTGACGTGCAGCCGTGGCGCCTCAGGCTGTCCAGCGAGTAACAGGCACCCGGTGGGCCCTGCTCCCAGCGAGTCAGCCACAGCCCCTCGCCATGGCCACTCAGCACCATGTGAGCCTGGCCCCTGCCGAAGCTGACCTGCCAAGGAGGAGGACCAGGTCAGGGGTCAGGTGAGCGAGAGCCCCTCACCTGGTCTCTGGGTCCAGCCATCACCCCCAACTTCCACCCGCATGACAGAGGAGTAGCCTGGCAGACCCCACTGCAGCATGTCACCTGAGGACGCAGCCCTCACCGCGTCCTCCAGCTCCAACACACCTGCCAGCTCCCCCGCCCCTAGCTCACCTGCACGGTTCCGTCACTGAACAGCAGAAGCAGTGCCTGCTGGGATGCAAAGAAGCTCAACAGGCAAAGGCCGGGTTCAGGTGCTGGCGAAGTTGCTGGTAGGGTTCCCTGCTGCCAACAGACTCAGCCAGGAAGTTGTTCAGGGGCCAGAGCCCCCCTCCAATCCCCACCAGCCCTCAGCCCTCACCTCCCGCAGACGCCTCTGCATAGAGCAGGTGAAGAGCCGCAACACAGCCAGCTTGGCGCCCAGCGGGCTTGGAGTGTCCCTAAGTGCGAACATCTCCAGCTGTCCCCGGTGTGGCACATAGCATACTCGGCTGGCGGGACAGAGAGCGGTGCCAGAGGTCAGAGCTGTGTCCTGGGTGTTTGTCACACTGCCCCCCTCCCATGGCTCTGTATGTCTGGCTCTGGCCACCGTCTCCCCCTGAGCAGCTCCCTGCTCGGGCATCCTGGCTGCCCTCCAGCCCGTCCGGCTCTGGCATTCTGCCCGGACACCCCCTGCCCCACCTGGGGCTTCCTCCACCTGGCCTGTGTCCTTGGAGAGAGCAGCTTGCCCCCTCCCTGATAGAGCGTCCCTCTGCCCCCATGCCATGGAAGGAGAGCTGCAGCTTACCCAGTGGAGGGACGCAATGCCATGTGGGTGCCGTCCCGAAACAGGACAGCGCTGGCCCCGTCCGACAGCTGGTAGCCGAAGCCATACTTGCTGGAGTCGTCCGCCCACAGGGGGGCCCAGAGCAGGGGCCGCTGCTCTCCTGGGGGGTCCTGGGGGGCTGGCACGAGGGGTCAGGCTAGGGTCTAGGGGCTCTGATGGCTTAGGTATGTAGGGATCCTCCCCCCATTGGCTGGCTTGCTGCCCACATAGCCGCAGCAGCCGAGGTTGGGCTGGGTCAAGACCAGGAGCCAGTGCCTTGTCCTGGGCTCCCACTAGGGCACCCGAGAGGTCAGTGCTGCCTCCCAGTGTGTGAGCAGGAAGTCGGACTCAGGCAGAGCTGGATACAAGCCTGGGTCCTCTCCGTTGACAGACCCACCAGCAATAGCAGGGAGAAGCTGGGGGAGCCATCATGGAGGGCCTGGGCGACAGTGCCAGGTACAAGTGGTCCTGGGATGGCCAGAACGACGAGGCCTCGGAGGGGACTGATCACAGCCCCAGTGGGCACGTGAGATGACAGGACACCCGCTGAGTCAGGGCAGCCACAGTGGAGCTGGCCAGGCCTACTTGGGCCGCCCACTCTCCTCATGACTTCATGTAACCTCAGTGGCCTGCGGCAGCTTCCTGTGTTCCATGGCAAATGGCTCCAGCTCCCCGAGCACCTTGAGACTGGAGACCCTGCTCAGGGTACTCCAGGCTCTGGGAGAGCTGAAGGCAGAGGTCCGGAGGTGCCCAGGGTGTAGGCTGCACCCCCCCGTGCAGGTGGCACTGACTGGCGGGAGGCAGACAGGACCCTGTCACCGGGTGGTCCCAGGCCCCAGCCCAGCATGGCGAGCCTTCCTCTGGCTCTCAGGCAAGACTAGCTAAGAACCTTCCAGAGCCCAGAAAGCCAAGGCTGCACCCACAGAGTGTACCCCCCAGCTGAGCCCGAGGCCCCTCTCACCACCAGCCTCCTAGGACAGCCCTGGGTGAGGTGGGAGCATCTGCCTGGGAACCAAGAGTTAGGGAAGGGCTGGCGCCTACCGGGCCAGGCAGCGTCCAGGCAAAGCTGCAGTCTGTGGATGGCCGCTGCGACCTCCGGCTGCAGGCTCCCTGCAGGCCCTGGGGGGTGGGGACAAACAGGCCTGGACCCCGTGGCGTTCCCACATACGGAGGGGGTAGTCTCGTCATACCCTCCAGACCCCCTCCCGCACATCCCATGGCCGGCCGGGGGTCTGCTCACCTTCCGGACCAGCGCCAAGGGTCCCTTGTGTGAGCACGCAGGTGGGGGTCACAGAGGCCTGAGCGGTAGGGTGAGGTGAGAGGCCTGGCTTTCCTGGGGCAGCTGCTGTCCCCTCAGCTGCCTCTCAAAGGCAGAAATGGGACAGGTGAACCCCCACATGCCAAGGGGTCCTCAGGGAGCCTGGGGCAGGAGTTAGAGTTGGTGACAGGAGGCAGGGGTCCGGAGGGCCCGAATCAGGGGAGCCTGCGTATAGGAAGGAGCTCGGAAGGGGCCAGGGACACTGGTTTCTTACCTGGCTACCCCACTCCATGGAGTCGGGGTCCAGCCCGTCTTCGGAGGTGAAGGGGCCTGAGGGAAACAGCTGACTTTAGGGGGTGCTGCGCAGGTTGGGGGCGCCAGGGCAGCCGCGGGGAACAGACGTGGTGGGGGTACTTACAGGGGGGCCCGCACTGGGGCAGCAGTAGCCGGCCCACCTTCCGGAGCAGCCCGCCCAGGGGCTGGGGGCAGGCGAAGACGGGCGGACTGTGGCAGCAGCGGGCCGGCAGCCGGTCTGGACTGAAACCCTGCAGAACGGGGTGCCCGGCCTCAGCCCCCTGGGGGCTGCTGGGGCCGGGGTGGGGTGGTGGCAGGCAGCGTGCCTACCTGCGTGAAGAAGTCATCCTGCAGCAGCAGGTCCAGGCTGGGCCGCTCGGCCGGGTTGGGTGCCAGCAGGCGGGCGATGAGGCGGCGCGCGGGGGGCGAGAGGTGGGAGGGCTCTGGGTAGCGGGCAGCCTGGATGTTCTTGTACATCTCCGACAGGGGGGCGGCCGTGAAAGGGGGGGTGCCAGTCAGCACGGTGTACCTGTCCAGGTATGGGGGGGTGAGAGCCCTTGGGGGTTCCCTCACACTCACCCACGCATACCTAGCCCTGGCTGCCCACACTTAACCTGCCTTTCACCACTCACACATGCCCAGTCCCGCCAGGGCTCCTAGGTCACTCACATGATGCAGCCCAGGGCCCAGACGTCCGACTGGCAGGAGTGCCCGTTCCTGGCGATGACCTCGGGGGCCAGGAAGTTTGGGGTCCCGCAGAGCACTCTGGGAGGGAATTCCTGGGAGCTCAAGGAGGGAGGCTGGGTATCCATGCCAGGCTCAGGGTCACCTACACCCTCCCAGCCTTCACCCACCTGCGGCAACGGCCCCCTGGCCCCAGCTTGGCGGCCAGCCCCAGGTCTCCAATCTTCACCACCATGTTCTTATTCAGGAAGAAGTTACCTGTGGGTGTGGGGGGCGTTAGGCGAGAGCTGGGGCCGTAGCTCCTGCCCTCTGGTCCCCCGGGACCCCCGCCTTGGTGCTCACTTAGCTTCAGGTCCCGGTGCACAATGCGTCGCCGGTGCAGGTAGCGCAGGCCGCTGACCAGTCCCCTCAGGTAGTAACGCACCTCAGGTTCCGTCAATGTCTGTCGTGCCCTGAGCACGTGGGCCAGGGACTGCGGGCAACCAGCAGGGAGGCCCCAGCAGCAAGTCGACCCAGGTCCGATGGGCACCGGTGAATTCAGGGAGCCAAAGGCAAAGTTGAGGTGAGCTTGGGTGTAGCTGAATGGGCCAAGTTCATCTGGGCCAGGTGGGCATGACTGAGGGCAGGAGGGGCACGCAGGTGGGCACAGGCGGGAATGGTGGCTCTCTGGGGGACTGAATAGAACCAGGCTGCTTGCAGGAGCGTGGAGGCCCCAGGGGAGTGTTAGTTGGCCTGATAATCAGAGGAGCTTGGCACAGGGGGCTGTTAGTAAGTGAAGGAAGGGCACAGCGCTCAGGAAGATATGAAATGGGCACCCCTGACTCGCCCTGCCCAGCCCCTGGCACCTGGCGGCTACAGTATTCCAACACCAAGTACACATGGTCACTGTCGGCAAAGTGTCCATGCAGGGCCACGATGTGGCGGTGACGCAGGCTGCTGTGCAGGGCGATCTCACGTTCCACCTGCAGGCACACCCCAGAAGGTCCAGCCTGAGGCTTGGCGCCCTGGGCAGCAGGAAACGCAGGCACCTCCCTGGAGACCCCGCGGGCCCACCTTGCAGGGTCCACGCCTCACCCCACACCCTGGGCAGCGGGAAAGGCAAGCACCTCCCTGGAGACTCGGCACATGCCACAGGCTTACCTTCCCTAGCGGACGCAGCTGCCCAGCCCCACTACTGCGGCGGGGCACCACCTTGAGGGCGAACACGGTGCTGGTGGACATGTCCGTGAGCTTGTAGCAGCGGCTGAAGGCGCCCTGCGGAAAGGAGCAAGCAGCTCAGTGGACAAGCGTGCACAAGGGCGACAACTCCACTGACTGGTAGTGTGCACGGGGCGCAGCGGGATCGGGGTACCTGGTACACACAGAGAGCGCCGGAGGCAAAGGCAGCGGCGTGGCACGACGGTTCCCAACCCCAGTTTCCCCCACGACAGGACCGGGCCCGCTGCGCGTCTCTCTCCACGCTCCCCACTGTGGAAGAGCCCCGCACAGCCCGGCCTCTCGCGCCCACCTTGCCAATCAGCTTCCCGCGCTTGTAGACGCGCCCAGAGCCCGGGTCGCGCAGGAACGCTGCCACCAGGTGGTGACTCCCTCGTCGCCGCCGGCGCGGCCCGGGCTCCATCCCAACGGGGTACAGCACAGCACGGGCACTGGCGTATCCAGGAGTCCCGACCCCCGCGCGCGGTGCAGCCGGCTCTGAGGTCCGCACACTGCCGGGGACGCTTCTTATTTGCTGCTATGGTGGGAAGGCGGAGCCAGATGCTGGGTCCCTGCCAGCTCGAGGAAGGGAGAGAGGGGGCAGGTGCGTGGGCGTGCGGGGACGCCGAGCTGGAGAAGTACCAGCAGCTAGCCGGCTGCCAGCCAGTGCCGGGCTCAGCCCGCCTGCTCCCTCAGCTCCGGCTGCGGGGCGATGTGCGGGCTGTTGACGCTCCCAACCTTCTGAGCGGGAAAGTCCAGCTGTCTGCGTGGAACTGCGCGCGTCCCTGTGATCACAAGGGTGCTTGGAGTGGGGAACCACAGTGAGATTCAGAGCAGGCGAGAAACCGGGGTGCCACAAGGCTGGAGTGGTGCGGAGGACACACCCTGGGGCAGGAACCCGGAGGTAGGGTTGCAGGCAGACCCTGAGGGGCCACACTGTGTAATTGGGAAGGTGGGAGGCGAGGGGGAGCTGCCAGTGGGGTGTGGAGGCCTCTGAGCTGTGGCCTCATTTCACCCCGACTCCTCACCTGGGAACTGGCCTTGTGCTCATGTCAGCAGGGTAGAGGGGTGACCCGAGCAGCTTCCCACCACGGCTGCCTACTGGAGGGTCTGATCTTCAAAAGTTACATAACAGACAGCGTGGGGAGGGGCTCGCAGGGCTCCCCCTGGCTGGAGCTAGGCTTTGGAATTTTCCAGAGACAGGATTACAGGATCAGGCCCAGCCTCACAGCCAGGGACAGGAAACACCTTATCAGTTGCCACATGCACACCTAGTATGTCATGTGGTGGGTGCCAGGACGTTCAGTGGGCACCAGGGTTCCAGGCCAGGCGGCACAGCAACACAGCAAGTGCACCAAGCTGACAGTTGGTGGTGTGAGTTGGGGGATGTGCCCCAGGGGTCCAACTTCCTTCTCATCTCAGTGCGTCTGAACCACAGGCCAGAAGCCAGTCCTTTCTCCGAACTCAGCCCGGGTTTCCGCTGGGCACTGACCACACAGAGATGCTGTTCTTAGGCCCAAGTGGATGGGTAGACCAAGGCACAGCAGGTTGCCCCAGTGCGATTATCCACGGGGGTGAATCTGGGCTCCCAGAGCCCGCAGGCTACAACAGCCAGGCACAGCCAGCTCCACCCTGGGGCCTCCTGGCCAGGAACTGCCCAACGTGCCTGTCAGCTGACACTGCACCCAGGTGCCCCTGGCCTCAGCCGCCAGGCCTGGGCGCTGCATCCTGAAGTGCAGGAGTGTGGGGAAGCCAAGGTTCCTCCCCTGGGAACCAGCGGCTGCGTGACTGGCACAAGGACTGCTACCACGCTCCCGGTTGCAGACGCGCCTTCCTGGGAGCAGGGCCCCACGTCAGCAGGTTTCTCAAGCCAGCGGGCGGCTGCTGAGACAGCACTGAGTCCCTGGAGGCCTCCTGGCGGCCCAGGAGGCATTAAGAGACATGATGAACCCCCCCCCCCCAACCCAGGCCCCGCTTCCCAGTCCACTCCTCCCAGCCACCAAAGTCCCCAGGACCCCAGGAATGAAGCAGGCAGGAAGGGGGGCCCCCTGTGTGGACGGGGTAGGGGCAGGACTTGGCACCACCCGCCCTGCCCACTTTATCCTCGCATGTCTGGTTCTTGCCATCTTCTGGAAATGCGGTTCTCCCAGCCTCCTGGTGGGATCTCCTGGGCTCCCTGCCTCCTCTCCCCCAGGCCTACAGCCAGGGACTGGGGGCTTGCTGTCCCAAGTCACTCAGCCTGGGCTGGCCCTAAAGGTAGATCATGAGGCAGGGGGTGGAGCGGGTGGGGTCGGGGATGGGGCTGTGGTCCTGAACCAGTGCTCTAGCCGGCACACAGCTGCCAGGGGCTGCCAAGGGCTTGGACACATGGAATCAGGAGAGAGGGATGCAGTTACCGAGATGGCCAGGGTGGGAGTCTTTGCAAGGAGCTGCCTGCCTCCCTTCCCCTCCGTGAGGTCATGCCACGCCCTTTCCCAGCCCTAGCCCATGTCACTGGCCCCCCAGCCCCATCTCCTCCGGCTACCCTCTGTTCCCGTCCCCGCGCGGTGACCTGGCAAAGCTTGCCCAGGCCCTGGGGCGCCCTCCCCCAAGCAGGTGCCTGTCCCTCGGGAAGGTGACCCCGCCCGCACCCCGTCTTCCATGGGCCATCGATCGGCCGCAGCTGTCCAGGGTGCTGCGTGGGTATCGGGCTGGCCAGCCAGAGGCCCACAGGAAGAAGCAGTTTAACCCCTGCATAGCTCTGTTTGCTAATGACAAGGTTGAGAGCTCAGTGTCATGCGGGACGTTGGCCCAATAGTAACTGGACGCAGTTACTGGACGGTGGGCTTAGTAATCGCCCTTCTGCACGTGTGACTGATGCTGTTTTACTGTGGGAACAAATTGACACAGAGTCAGTAGCCCAGTGGCTAAAGCCCTTGCCTTGCACATAATGGGATCCCATCTGGGCACTGGTTTGTGTCTCAGCTGCTCTCCTTCCCATCCAGCTCCCTGCTTGTGGTCTGGGAAAGCAGTTGAGGATGGCCCAAAGCCTTAGGACCCTGTACCCACGTGGGAGACCCGGATGGAGCTCCTGGCTCCTGGCCTCAGCCTGGCCCAGTTCTGGCCCTTGCGGCCATCTAGGGGGAATGAGTCAGAGGATAAAAGCTTCCCCCAGCCCCCGTCTCTCTCTTGTTACAGCTCCACCTTTAACACACACAGTCACTTTCCTTCAGCCCAGAGCACTGCAGTCTCAAGTCCAGGTGTGGGCAGGACCGACCTGGAGGCCTCGGGGAGATTCCTGCCCTGCCTTGCCCTGCTGCAGGAGGTGCCCCATGCCTCGCCTCAACCAGGCTGTAATGCAGACCCCCCCAAGCCCCCTCGGGAGGACTTCGGGGACGCTGCCCCACCTACACCCAGTCACCCAGACCCTCTCCTATCCGTGTCTACCCTGAGTCCCCGCTGCAGAGGCTCCTGGGACGTGGGGTCATGTGAGTGTGGGGCAGTGTGACTGCCCTCAGCCAGGGACACAAGGTGCTGTGAAAAAACCTCATATGAAATATGGAACGAGAAGGCCGGCTACAGGGGGCTCCACAGGCCTGCCTGCTGGTCACACACCCTGCTGGCCGTGCAGCGCTTGCTGTGGATCCCACAACACCTGCCAGGTACCGCGTGTGTACCCTGTAGCCACACCTGCCATGGACCTCGGCACATGCCCTGTGCCTGGCGCGTTCCTGGGCACGTGCCCCACGCCTGGCATGGACCTCGGCCTAGGTACAGAGCTGTGCAGTCACCACCTTTGTCTGGCACCAGAACATTCTGTCATCCAAAAGGAAATGTGCCCTCTGTGAGTGGCCACCCCCGAACTCCTGGCGACCACCTTCCTGTCCACGGTACTCCTGTGTGCTGCACATCTGTCCGTGGAGCGGAGCTCATGTCAAATGGCCTTATGTGGCTGCGTGTCCCTCAAGTGTGGCATCCTTGGGGCCCCCTTGCCTCACCCCTGCTCCTGGCTGCCCAGTGTCCCGCACGAAGGCACCCCAATGTGTGTCCAGTTCTGCAAGCAAGGGCATTGGAGTCCTACCAGGTGCCCAGGGACTTGTGTGTTTGTTTTGGGCGGATGGCAGGTGTGGGTTTACCAGATCACACTTTCCGACGAGCCACCGGGGGGCCTGTTTCCTCAGGGAGGTGTGCACCCCCATGATCTCCTGTGCCCTGGCCACAGCACTCCCTGTGGGACCAGCATGCTTAGCTTCCAGCCAGCACACATCCAGCGTGGGCATCCCGGGACCGCTGAGAGCTCTCTGCCGTGGCCACACCCTGCTGGTCCCCAGTATCCCGTGGTGGACATGAGGCTCGCCCACGGGCTGGTTGTCACGTCCCAGGTAGCTGAGTCACACTGGGTGGAGGCACCAGCCGCTCCCTGTGACACGCCATCGTGAGAGGTCAGTGAGGACTGTCCCTCGGAAGGATGTGGCTCCTGGCAGGGGAACACCCTGGCCATCCCTGGCCAGGTGGAGGCCCAGCACCTGTGCTTCTGACCCAGCTCCCTATTCGTGCATCTGCAGAAGCTGCAGGCACGGCCAAGTGCGTGGGCCCTGCACCCACAGGGGAGACCTGGAAGGAGCGCCTGGCCATGCAGGGAGTGATTCAGCAGATGGAAGCTCTCTCTGTTGCTCTGCTTTTCAAGTAAATGAATAAATATTTTCTTTTTTTTTTTTTAAAGATTTATTTTTATTATTTTTTTCATTGGAAAGGCGGATATACAGAGAGGAGAGACAGAGAGGAAGATCTTCCGTCCGATGATTCACTCCCCAAGTGAGCGCAACGGCCGATGCTATGCCGATCCGAAGCCAGGAGCCTCTTCCGGGTCTCCCACACGGGTGCAGGTTCCCAAAGCGTTGGGCCGTCCTCGACTGCTTTCCCAGGCCACAGGCAGGGAGCTGGAAGGGAAGCGGGGCTGCCGGGATTAAAACTGGCACCCCATGGGATCCCGGGTGTGCAAGGCGAGGACCTTAACCACTGCGCCACCGCGCCGGGCCCAATAAATATTTTCTTATAACAGTTTTGAGATTTTTATTGGAATGGTAGACTAACAGAAAAATCTTCCATCCACTGGTTCACTCCCCAAGTGGCTGCAATGGCCAGAGCTGAGTCGATCCAAAGCCAGGAGCCAGGAGCTTCTCCCAGGTCTCCCACGCGTGTGCAGGGTCCCAAGGCTTTGGACCGTCATCCACTGCTTTCCCAGGCCACAGGCAGGGAGCTGGATGGGAAGGGGAGCAGCTGGGACACAAACCAGTGCCCAAATGGGATCCCATTATGTGCAAGACGAGGATTTAGCCACTGAGCTATTGTGCTGGGCCCTCAGTGAATAAATATTTTTATGGGAAGTCTTGATTGGCAATAACAGAAAATCCCTTCTCAGGGATGGCTGATTTCAGGAGTGCAGACCTGCCCAGAGGCCTGGCCCTTGGCACTCACGGTCTTCTCTGTCTATGTCCCCCGCCCGCAATCCTCGGAGTGCCAGGTGAGGTGCCAGCTCACGGCTTCCATTCATGCTGCAGGAACCCAGCCAGACAGAAGCTCGTGCCCTGGGTTCAAGTGCCAAGGCAGAGGGGCAGGCACAGGAGGGTCCCAGGCAGGGGCAGGCACAGAAGAGTCATGCACAGGCTGGGGTGGTCACAGAAGGCCCCGGGTGGGCATAGGTGGGTGCAGGATGATCCAGGCCAGGTTGGGGTGGGCACGGGATTCAGGGCAGGCCAGGGTGGGCACAGGAGGGTCCAGCGTGCAGAGGACGGGTGACCTGGGGCCAGCAGCACCATGATCAAGGTCTGAAGTGGTGCATGGAGCATGGGGCTCCTCTGCCTGCTGTATGCACTCCCTGCAGGACACAGTGCTTACTGTATACATTGAGGCCATTGAGTGCTGTGTACAGAGCACAATGCCTACTGTATGCGCTCCCTACAGGACACAATGCCTGCTGTATACACCAGAGCCCAGTGACTGCTGTATGCACTCCCTGTAGGGTGCAGTGCCCTCTGGACCTCATGTGTTCCCAATGCCCCAGGCAGGCGCACACACAGTGGGTACTCAGTAATGGGTTTTGGGCCCCCGGCCCCATCTCTCCTCTCACCTCCCTCTGACCCTCTGCAGTCCGGCTTACTTCACCCAGCCCAGCCGCCTGGTCGGTCACTGTCCACTGTGTCTTCTGTCCACCTCCTGCCTCCAGATCTCCCGGCTCCTCCCGCGGCTCTGAGCCTACCCATGGTCCCACACAGCCCAGGTGCTGACCCCATCCATGTGGTTATTTGCTGGGGGAATGGGGGCGCCAGCTGCTGCCTGCTGAGGCCCAGACCTCCCCTAGGAGGTCTAGGGGCATCTTGGCCAGCTCTTCCCTAGGCCCCAGAACCCCTCAGCTCCTTCACTCCCTCCCCTCTGTGCACGGCCAGCAGTGGCTTTTCCCATACTTGCCAGTGTGCCCCCACTTGTCCTGGCTGCCTGGAGCCCCTGACTGGGCTGGGCTCCCTGGAGGAGGCCCTCAGGCTGGGCCATGGCCACCCCCAGTCACACAGGATCTCCCCTCCCCACCAGGATGTGCTGTGGTGCCTCTGCCAGGGGTGAAGGGAGGATGGGAGTGGACGTGACCCGCGTGGACAGAGTGTGGGAAACGGTGCTGTCATGGGGGAGGCCTGGAGCTCGGGTGCAACCACCTCTGCTAGGCCCATTGCCCGGTTGGTTAAATTGATGTGGGCTCGGTGGTGAGGGGGCCGAGTCTTTGGGTGGACCCGCGCCTAGCTCAGAAGCACAAAACAAGAGCCTGGCTGGGAGGATGGGTGGTGGTGACAACAACGCCTGGGAATGTGCCCCCCACACCGGGCCCCGGGCCTGTGTCTCTCCCCGCGTGCGCTGGGGCCCGGGTCGGGGAACCCCGGGATGGCACCCAGCTGGCTGGCGGGGTCTCCACTTCCGGGAAGCGGGTGGTGAGCCAACAAGGACTCCCTTGTTGGGGGGGATCCATCCAGAGCGGTACAGCAGGCGTCGGGCCGGCCGAGAGGGGGCAGCGCCGGCGACTCCCGGGGCCCGGGCTGGGCGCCCTGGGTCGGTCGGCGCAGATTCCCGGGCCCTGAGCACGGATGCCCGGAATAGCAGCCCCGGGCTGGACGGTGGGAGCGGTCAGTTCCAAGGTCGCCAGCGGCCCGGACGCCCGCAACCAGGGCACTGCGCGGGGCAGCCCCCCGCGGCGGATCCGCACCGGCCGCGCGAGGGCGCACAGGGGCGCGCGAGGCGGCCGCCCCTCCCTGCCCGGCCGGGCGCGCCCCGGGGACGCTCGCGTGGGAGGGGCCGCCGCGCGCTGCCCACTCCCGCCCCGCACTTCGGGCCCGCCGCTTCCGCCCTCCCGGGAGCCTCCCGCGCTCCACGCAGCGGGTAAGTCCTTGTGTCCGTCCGCGCACTCCTTCGGAGCCGGTTCTGCTGTGCGGGGAAGTGGTGGGGAGGAGAAAGCCGAGCACCGTCCACTCCTCAGCCCCCCACGGGCAAATTGACTCCTACAGGGCTTGTCCGGTCCTGGGCGAGCGGCAGCTAGCAGGCTGGCCCATCACCTCGCGTGCAGTGGGTCGGGGCGGTCGGAGGTCAGTAGGTGCCCTCCCTGTCCTCCAGGCTCCACGCGCGCCCTAGACCCCAGAGCCCGGGCCACCGTGGGGCCGTGCGTTCCCGCCTCCGGTGTCCCCGCGCGTGCCGCCCTGGGGCCGGAGACCTTCGGCCTCTAGCTGCCGTCCTTCAGCCCTGCTGACTGCCCGGCGCCCGAGGTGGCCCCCAGCTTCCGTGCTCACGCCGCCACCAAGTTTCCCCTGCTTCTGGTGCGGGGTCGCATGTGGACATGCAGGCTGGAGGCCCGGGTCTCCAGCTCCTTCCTTCTCTCCTTCCCTCGCCCCCTGACTTCTGCAGGAGGCCCCGGCGCTGCTTGGTCCACACCCTCAAGGATGAGGCCATGACGCCACGCCTGGACCAGGGCCAGGTCACCCCGCCCCGCCCCGCCCTCCCCGGGGCTCCCCGAGGGGAGCCCAGGGGGTGCCGCTGCTGACCCAGCTGCCTCCGCAGCGTCTCCCGGAGCCTCGGGGGTCCTGGCTGTGCTCATGGGGACCCCCAGGCCTGGGGATCCCCACTGGCCGGCCTCTGGCCACGCGGGAAGGTAGACGCAGCTCCGGCGAGGGGGATGGGGGTGGCGGGGTGTCGCTGCGCACTGATTGAGCGCCCGCTGTATACGCTGGAAGCCGAGGTGCCCGTGGTACTGCGAACAGCCATGTGAACCCTTCCTCTCTGGCCCCGCACGGGGGTCCCTTGCAGAGGGCTTCCTTTAGCTGCCAGGAACCACACAGCAGGCAAGGCAGGGCAGGGCCTCAGCCCTCCTTTGCTCCCCCAGACCCCTTCCGGTCCAGAACCTGTTGCTGCTGCTGGGGATCCTCCTGAGCTGTGGCTTGGGGGGCGGTGCTCAGGTAAGGGGGTGTGGCATGAGCCCGAGAGGACCAGGGACCCAGCTCCCCTTCCCCACCCCTGCAGGCTCATTGTGCCTCTCTCGCCCCAAGTAGGGTCCAGGGGAGTGGACCTTGTGGGGGTCCTGGAGCCGCTGTTCCAGCTCCTGCGGCCGGGGCGTCTCGGTGCGCAGCCGGCGCTGCATCCGGTGAGCCGGGGAGCCCAGGGTCCTGCCTCGCCCCGGCCCCAGCACCGCCTCCCGGCCTGCCCACGCTCGCCCGCTGTGCCCTTTAATCCCGCTGATCCCGGTGGAATGCAGGCGTGGCTGGCTGGGGGGGGCGGGTGGGCAGAGAGTGGACAGGCCAGCTGGGGAGACGGAGTCCCTGGGGGTCCTGACCACCCACACGTGAGCCGCCCTGCCCTCCCGCAGGCTTCCCGGGGAAGATCCGTGCTGGGGGGACTCCCACGAGTACCGGCTCTGCCAGCTGCCTGTAAGCTCCGCCCGCCGCCGCGCCCCCTCCCCGGTATCCCCAGATGCTCCCAGTTCGCAGGACACACCGCCCCAGCCTCTCGCTGTCCCCGCAGGACTGCGCCCCCGGGGCCGTGCCCTTCCGAGACCTACAGTGCGCTCTGTACAACGGCCTCCCTGTGCTGGGCACCCACAAGACCTACCAGTGGGTGCCCTTCCACGGCGGTGAGTGCGGGCAGGGATGTGTGAGGGGCCTTGGAGGAGACGCAGGGGGATGGAGGGGCGCGCCGGGGGCACCCCGTGACGACTGCTCCGCCCCCAGCGCCCAACCAGTGCGATCTCAACTGCCTGGCGGAGGGACAAGCCTTCTACCACAGCTTCGGCCGCGTCCTGGACGGCACGCCCTGCAGCCCCGGCGCCCCGGAGCTCTGCGTGGCCGGACGCTGCCTCGTAAGGACCGGGCGGCCGGGCTGCACCAAGACCCCCAGATGCTGCCGGTCGGTGCAGCCTCTCCGGCCCCGCCCACCACAAGGCCCCGCCCCACCTCCCGCCAGGCACCGCCCCTGGTACCCGGGTCCCGCCCTCCCCGCCAGAGTCACGCCCCCGGTGTCAGGGACACGCCCACCTCCCACCAGTGCCACGCCCCTATAACCCAGGTCACGCCCACAGACAGCTGCTCTCGGGACCCGCCCACTTTTCACTTCAGCCACGCCCTCACCACGCTGCCCCGCCCTCTCGTCCTGACCCCGCCTCTCCCTCCCCTACAGTCCCCTGGCTGTGATGGGATTCTGGGATCCGGCGCCACGGAGGACCAATGCGGCCGCTGCGGGGGCGCCGCCGACTCGTGCCTGCGGGTGCAGCGCGTGTTCCGGGACGCGGGTGACTGCCCGTCCCACCCTGCCAGCCCAGCCGCCCTCACCCCGACCCCGCAGCCTCACCCCTCAGCATGACCCCCTCAGCCCGGCCATCCTTAGCCTGACCCCTCAGCCCGACCCCTCAGCCCGGCCATCCTTGGCCTGACCCCTGAGCCCGACCCTGCAGCCTGACCCCTCAGCCTCACTTCTCGGCCGACCCCGCAGCCTCTCCCCTCAGCCTGACCCCCTCAGCCTCACCCCTTGGCCTGACCCCCTCAGCCCGGCCATCCTTAGCCTGACCCCTGAGCCCGACCCCGCAGCCTGACCCTGCAGCCTGACCCCTCAGCCTGACCCCACAGCCTGACCCCCTCAGCCCAGCCACACTTAGCCTGACCCCTGTCAGCATGACGCCCTCAGTCCTGCTGCCCTGTCCTTGGACCCCCGAATCCCTGCCTGGGAGGGTCTCCAATGCCCCCCAGGATCCTCCCCCACCCCGCGTATCACCCTCCAACCCCAGGCCCACTCACGCCTTGCCACCCCTGCAGGTGCCTGGGCCGGGTACTGGAACGTGACACTGATCCCTCAGGGAGCCAGGCACATTCGCGTGGGGCATCGCAGCCACAACCACCTGGGTACAGGGCCCTGGGGCTCGGGGGACTTGGGGGAGTTGGGGACCAGGAGAGCAAGGCCAGGGGGCCCTGGGGTTCCCAGCACTGGGGGGACCTGGTGGGGAGGCCTGGGGATTTGGGGGGCAGAGCCAGGGCTGAGCCTTTCCTTGCAGCGCTGCTGGGAGATGACGGGCATTATGTGTTCAACGGGAATTGGGTGCTCAGTGCGCCTGGCACCTACGAGGTGGCCGGCACCCATGTGGTCTACACTCGCACTGCGGGTCCAGAGGAGACACTGAGCGCCACCGGACCCACCTCCCACGACTTGCTCCTGCAGGTACACCACGGGGTGCGTGGAAGGAGCTCAGGGTGCGACTGAGCCAGAGGGGGTATGGCCAGGGCAGAGGTGGCGTGGGTCGGGCAGAGGGGGTGCAGACCAGACAGAGGCAGTACAGACCAGGTCAGGGGTGCTGGAAAGCCAGCTGGGCCATCGTCATGGTGTCACCAGTGTACTCCATGCAGGTCCTCCTGCGGGAGCCCAACCCTGGCATTGAATTTGAATTCTGGCTTCCCCGGGAGCGCTACGACCCCTTTCAAGCTCAGGCGCAGGCCCTGGGCTGGTCCCTGCGGCAGCCGCAGCCTCGGGAAGTGGAGCCTCGGCCCCCTGAGCCCCCCGCCAGCCCTGTGACCCCGGCCCCAGGTGAGGTGGTCAGAACCCGGCAGGGCAGAGGCGAGGGGTGGGTGGTGGTGAAGCCTGGGTCCCTCACAGCCCCTCCCCTGCAGACCCCTGCCCGCCCTGCCCGGACGCCAGAGGGCGCGCCCACCGGTTACTCCACTATTGTAACAGCGACTTCGGTGAGAGCCCTGCCCACTTCCGCTGCTGGCCTCTGCCCCCTTTCCTGCCCATCCTGGAGGTGCCCCTCTGGCCACGGGGGGTGTTGAAGCTGGCTCAGTGCCTGCCCCACCGCCCCAGTGTTTCAGGCCCGGGTGCTGGGCCGCCGTCGGCACGCCCAGGAGACACGCTACGAGGTGCGCGTGGAACGCATCTACAAGAGCCGTGGGCCGCTGCGGGGCCGTGAGTACGTGTGGGCGCCCGGCCGCTGCCCCTGCCCGCCGTTGGCCCCCCACCACGACTACCTGCTCGCCGTGCGGCGCCTTGTCAGCCCCGACGGCACCCAGGACAGGTTGTTCCTGCCCCAGTCCGGCTACGCCCGGCCCTGGAGCCCTGCCGAGGACAGCCGAGCCCGCCTGGCTGCCCGGCGCTGTCCCGCCTGAGCCTCCATCCCAGCAGCCAAGGACACACGGAGTGGACGCTCCTTCTCGTTTTCACTCTCACCCTGGCTGCCAGGAAGCTCCTGCATGCTCCTGCTGTCCTTCTGGCCTGCCAGGCCGAACTTTAGAGACAGCGTGACCAATACCTGCGTCTCTGGCTCTGTGGACAGCCCGCCCCCACTTCCGTCCTGTCTGGGAGGGAGTCGGGGTGATCTCGAGAACAAACTTGGGTCTGTGGGTGTCCCCTGGCCACTCCCCTTCCCTGCCACACTGGGGATGGTGGGGGTCACTGCCCTGCCTGTGGCTCCTGTAGGGGGCGTTTCCCATGGGGATGACGGATGGACCCATGCGTGCTGCTGGTGCAGGGAGCGGCCCTGTGAGGCTGGAGGAGCAAAGACAGAGGAGGACAATGTGGGGGCAGCCAGGACGGAGGGAAGTCAGGGTCCCTGCAGCCCTGACCTACCACGTGACCCTTGTCCATGCCCTTCCCACTTCTGGGGCTGCGGGGTTGGAGCTGTCTGGGTTGGGGGGGTCCTGGGAGGAGGGGTCAGCAGGCACCTGCTGTGAGGCTGGCACACCTGTGTCATGGCGCCCCCTGGTGGAGGCTGTGGATAAGCAAAGACACCTGCCTTGGGGCTGGAGGCCCCCGGGGCCCGGGTTGGGGTGGCCATTGTGTCCCGGGTGCCATGGGTGAGAATAAATGTGGACCCCTACTTGGTTCCTGAGCTCTCAATGCAACCGAGGAAGTGTGTGGGACGGGACTAGCAGCTCCCCTCCGAGAAAGGGAGGCCAAGGCTGGGCACAGGTGAGTGAGGACCCTGCAGAGTGCCCAGGGCCAGTGCCCACGGCAGTCCGGCTGGGCCAGGTCCAAGCCGCATCCAGAACTCCACATGGGGTCTCCCACCTAGGTGTCAGGGACTCACGCACATGGTCCCCCAGGGTGGGCGTCCCATGGGGAGCTGAGCTCAGCGAACAATTGTCCCTCATGTGGGCAGGCTGTGGGCAGGAGGGCACCCTGGGCCTGACTGTAAGAGTTCACCCGGCTGTGAGTCAGCAGGTACAACAAACCCCAGGCCCCCAACCTGGGGACGTGATGTCGAGGGAAGGATCCGAGATGGAATTGGACCCTGACCCAGCCACCTGCTCACACACAACCTGGGAGCCAGCAGTGACAGCCCAATCCTAGGGCCTCTGTCTGCCACTCTGGTGGGACGCTGGGCCACACAGCCCCGGGGAACCTGGCTTTGACCTCGGGGAATGAGTCAGCAGCAGGTGCGAGATGCAGAACAGTCAGTCGGCCTTCTTTTAAAGGCAAATGAGGAGGGGGAAAGGTCAGGGCTTGTACCTGGTGAGGCAGGTGTGACTCCCCTGTGCTCCCTAGCACACTGACTGGGGCAGGACCCCGCTGAGCCTGGCCCACACCTCCCCCAACCAGAGGGAGAGGCTGGGTAGGCGGGCCAGGAGCCCTCCTGCACCTGCGGTGTGGGCCTGTGCTGGGATGTGGGGGCAGGGGAAACCATTAACCAACCTTGCTCCCTGATAAGACCAAGTCTGCGGCAAAGCAAAGTCCCCCACCTGTCGTCCCGTGCCCCAGGGTGGGGCTCTGGCCATCCCCACTTCCCTGGTCCTCCCATGCCCTGGGGTGGGGCCTTGGCCACCCCCATATCCCTCAGCCTCCATGGCAGGGCCGAGCCCTCGACCTGGCCGGCTCTGTAGGCTCTGTTCCTTACCTCCCTTTGAGGGCACCTCTGCCCACCATACCAGGTTCACTTCCCTGCTGTGTTCTTGCCCACGGACTCACCTCCTTTTTGCCCCAAAGGCACTCCCCAATAATGAGCTTGTCTCAAATTTTCCCCACATCTTTTGGGATTTGGGGGAAGGGGGTATTTGTCTCTTCCCTAGGAGCCTCTGGTTTGGGTTTTTTGATTTACTGATTTGAAAGACAGAGTGACAAAGGGCAAGGACTTCTATCTGCTGATTCGCTCCCTGGATGCCCACCGCGGACAGGGCTGGGCCTGGGTAAAGCTGGGAGCTTAGAATGCTTTGGCAGGGAACTAGATTGGAGCTAGAACAGCTGGCACTCGAACCAGCTCCCACTGGGACGCCAGCATTTGTAGGCATCGCCCAAACCTACTACACCATAGTGCCGGCCATTCTGGAAGTTTCTAAAACAGACTGAGGTGAGTGCTTGGGGCCACAGTCCCTGCCACCCACATGGGAGGCCCAGAGCAGGCTCCTGTCGGCAGGCCACGACTCTACCCTGAGCCCTGCGTGGCTGAAGAGGTCCCAGGGACGTGGCCGAGCTCATGCCCAAGAGGAACAGACATGGACAGAAGGGCATGTAAGAACTGGGTTGCACCTGCTCCCAGAAGCCCCTCGCCTGCCTGGGCTCCCCTCCCCAGCACGGATGACACGGGCCTGGTCACCACAGCCTTTATTGTGTTGCCCTAGCAGGCCGGGTACCCGAGCTGCCAGCAGCGCTGTAGGCAGTGCAGCCCGTGGCCGGGCCAGGCGCAGGCCATCTCGGTGCTGGACTCCGATGAGTACCCCAGGGAGGACTCCGAGCAGCAGGGTGCATTTGGCTGGGGCATGGAGGTAGTGCTCCACTTGGTGCGTGGCCATCGGCTGGTCTGAGGGGCCTCGGTTCCCAGCTCACTTGGGGCCTCGTCAGGGGGCTGGGCAGAGGTGGAGCGGGCACTGGAAGTCTGCTGGTTGCGCTGCTTAGAGCGGGCACTGGGAGCTTGCCGGCTACCCTGTGAAGGACGCTGCCTGCGCCCCTGCCGGGCTCCCGCCGGCCTGGTGGCCAGGATGGAGCGGGGCTGGTGCAGCTGGGGCTGGCTGGAGGAGATGCCGTGTGCCCGTGCCTGGGCTCGTCCCCGAGCCTGGCCACGAAGCTTGCCCTGGACCTTGCTGGGCATTCGGGAGCCGCTGGCGGAGCCTGAGGCCACGTAGCCCTGGGAGCCGGAGCTGTGGCCATCTGGGGAGTGGGATGGGGAGCTGCTGGAGCTGAGTGGCGGCGAGGTCCCGGGGGCCTTGTCCTGGCTGGAAGAGCTAGACAGGAGCTCGGTGGAGTCGGAGGACAGCTGGGGGATCATGGAGCTGTCCTGGCTGGCTTCAGATGGTAGCTGGGGGCCTGGTGAGCTGCCCTTCTTGCTGGCATCTGGTGGTGGCTGGGGGCCTGGTGAGCTGCCCTTCTTGCTGGTATCAGGTGGCAGCTGAGAGCCAGAGGAGCTGCCCTTCTTGCTGGCATCGGTAGATGACTGGGGGCCTGGTGAGCTGCCCTTCTTGCTGGCCCCGGGGTCTGAGTATGGGCTGGAATGCTTTTTCACTTGTCCTGGTGTGCTGGGCTCAGGCCGGCTTTGGCTGCAGAGAGAGGGACGGGGTCAGGGGTCAGCCACACGCATGCCCAGGCTTGCCCACACACACATACACACATGTATGTGTGCAGCCCCTGACCCCCAGGGTTACATACGGTCAGCCTCGAGGGCAGCAGAGGGTCCGGCCCCTGCTGGAATGACGCGGGCCCGGCTGCGAGCCAGAGCCTGTAACACTGTTCCCCGAATGCGTGCGGGAGAGAAGTGGCCAGTGAGAGAGGAGCAGACAGCAAGCAGGAGCAGCCATGCGGGGGTGGGGACAAGGCCAGGCTGACAGGAGACCCCCCCGCCCCCCCCACCCCCTGCATCACGCACCGTCCCGGGCTAGGCCTGCCGCCGTGTCCAGCACTCGCCCGCTGAGACGACTCACGGCGGTGTCCACTGCCACGTGATGTTTTAGAAAGAGCGGCCGCACGAGCCGCTGATAGAGCAGGAGGGCACCGTTCCAGGGCCCGGGTGTCATGCAGAACAACAGGAAGGCGCACTGTGGGTGTGGGGGGGGTCACCCCCAGGGGGCAGAGGTCAAGCTCAGGTCCGTGATGGCCCCGGGTCAGGGGTCACCTCCCTCCCCGGCGTCCCCGGGCCCACCTTGCCCACGTAATAGAAAGGGAACCAGGACAGGAGCAGATCGCTGAAGAACTCGGCCAGACTGAACAGGGCGTACACGACCCAGTAGGTGAGCCACACAGTGTCGTCCTCCTTGCTTGAGCTTTCGATGGCTTTGATTCTGTGGGTGGCATGGCCCCGTCAGGGCTGGGGGTCCACACAGTGCCGCCCCTCCCCGCCACTGCTGCCCTAGCCCACCAGCACTCACGAAGCATATGCGGGGTACACAAATCCGATGAGGTTGCACAGCAGGGGTGCCCCGTAGCCGAACAGAAGATACAGGCTTAGCAGAGAGACAACTCCTGCAGGTGGGGGCCGGGGGACAGCCTGAGTGACCCAGGGCCAGCCAGGACTCCGGGGCGCGGGGGCACTGTGAGTCACCCAGAGCCAGCCGGGGACTGGGGTCCCACATGGTGGATGGCTGCTACCATAGCTGCCCCAGGGAAGGGCTGGGAGAACATGGCGAGGCATCCTGGGTACGGCAGAGCAAGGAGCTGGGGTACTCCAATTGTGACAGCCCTAACACCCCCAGACACCCAACCTCGCCTTCCAGAGTGATGGGCGCTCTGTCTCCCTTGGGGAGGGGTGGGGTCGGTCCCTCTGCCCCCTGGAGTCTCTGCGGGCACAGCTGCCCACTCAGGCCCTGGGCCATGATTGATCTGATGGACACAGCGGAGCTGGGCACCCCACGTGCTCGGCTGCCGCCCCTGCTTTCTGCAGGAAGTGGACCGTTGGCGGGTCCAAGGTCAGAGCCGCCGTGTTCCATCTGCTGGCCCTGGGCGGCTGCTGGGGCCAGGGCCCTGGCGAGTGCTCCCCCAGCACCCCCTGTGTAAATCCACCTTCCTGCAGGCTCAGCAGAAGCAGGATGTAGGGCTGGGTAAGCCCCAGAGAGCGGCAACAGATGGGTGTGTGCAGTGTGTCCCTGTGTGTGCTCCTGGGCCGCTGCTCCAGACCACACAAGCCCCTTCCTCTCCCCTCAGCATGCCCCCCAGCCCCCAGTGACTCCTAGCCTGGCCAGCTGGCCTCTCCCGGCCCGTGCCCTGTGACCTAAACCCCTCCCCTCTGGAACCAGAAACGAGTAATACAAGAACAGAGGTCAGGGGCCCCATGTGCCCATGCAGGGTGTGTGTGTGGGGATGTGTGGGGGTGCGGTGTGGCCTGGGCCTGCTGGCCAGGAGCCACTGACCGACCATGGACCTTGCTCAGCCTGTCTGGCCGGCAGGGAGATGGGAGAAAATTGACCTCCCGGGCAGAGAGACACGTCCAGCAGGGCTACCCAGGCGTGGACCTCTGCCTGCCCGATAGGGGCAGGAGCAGGGGTTGTGCGGGGAAGGACAGACGGGAGCCTTGTGTCTGCTGTCCATGGCCTTGGCCCCGGGCAGTCCCACCCTCGTCCTCCAGATCTCAGGCCAGAGTCCCCTGTCCTTTGTTCATTTCGCCAGCCATGGGGCAGTTCGACAGACCCACCATCCCTACCCACCCCACCCCCTGGCCACTGGCACCTCTGGGGCAGCTGGCCGGATCCCCAACCCTGGCACCCTGACCCTGGCACTCCAGGGGCAACTGGATAGACCCTGACACTGGCAACCCCTGGGGAGCTGGACGGACCTCTTACCCCTGGCAGCCCCCGGGGGGAGCTGAACGGACCCCCAACCCTGACATCCCGACCCAGGCACCCCTGGGGCAACTGGATAGACCCTGACCCTGGCACTCTGGGGACAACTGGATAGACCCTGACCCCTGGCACCCCTACCCCGGCACTTCCGGGGAGCTGGACGGACCCCTGGCCATCCTGACCCCTGACCCCCGACCCCCGGCCGAGGCTCACCCACGGCGAGATAGCGCTTCTCGACTCCGGTCTTGACTTCGAGCGCTCGGAGCGCCCCGGCGGCAGGGTTCTCCTCTTCCAGAAACCGCTCGAAGCGTTGACGTAGAGCGTCCATGGCCGCGGCGAGCCCGGGGCTGAGAGCTGGAGCTCGCCGCCCGGCCCGCGCACCGGCTGCGCAGCGCCCGCGCCCCCGCCTGGCCCTTGGCCGGCCCGCCGCTGTCCGGCCCGGCCGCCGCTGTCCCCGCCCCCGCCGCCGCTGTCCCCGCCCCCGCCGCCGCTGTCTCCGCCCCTGCCGCCGCGGTCTCCGCCCCCGACCCCCCGCGCCGGCCAATGGGAGGGCAGGGCGGACAAAGGAGGTGGGGCCTGCCCCGTCTCCCTCGCCGCATCGCCCTCTGGCGGCCCGAGGGTGCCGCCGCAGCCACGCGGCCGGCGGCCAGCCGCCAGCGCCGATTGGCGGAGCAGAAAATGGTACGTAGCTGATTGGACTGGACAGCGTCAGGAGGCGGGGATTATTGGCTGCACCGTTGCCGGGGGGTGGGGCCGGGGAGGGCGGGGCCTGAGAAAGAGCCTGACTGAGGAGCTGAGTGGGCGGGGGGGGGAAGCGGTTCTGTGGGCGGGGCTTCCGCGTAAGACCATTTCCGATTGGAGCAGAGAGGCTGCGGGCCTCGAGGGAGGTGGACGTGGGGCGTGGCCGCCGTCGGCGGTTGCCATGGCTCCGGGGGCGGTGGCGGTTTGGCCGGGGGCGGGGCTTGCGCGGAGGCCCCGCCTCGCCGCGGCCCCGCCCCCGCCGCCATGGGGCCCGCCCCGGCTGCGCTGCTGTGTCTGCGCCTGGGCCTGGTCCTGGGCCTGCTGGACGGGGCGCTGGACGGGGCGCTGGCCGCGGGTCTGGCCGCCCCGGTCTATGTCAGCAGCTGGGCCGTGCGTGTGTCCCAGGGCCCCCGGGAGGCCGAGCGCCTCGCTCGCAAATTCGGCTTCGTCAACTTGGGGCAGGTGGGTGGGGAGGCGCGAGGCGAACCCCCAAGACCTGAATGATGGAGGGGATGTCTCCCAGGCTTGCCCCCTCTTCCGTGAAAGCCAGGAACCCCCAACCCGCTCGCCTGCCCCACTTGAGCATGTGCAGGCCCTAGGACCCGAAGCTGGTGGCAGGTGCCGAGCCGGGGCAGGTGGTCTCCTATGGGGGTAGGGAGAGCCAGCCCTGGCCATCCTACCTGCCTGTCCTGCCTCAGCCATGTGTGGGCTCCAGGACCCGATGCTGTCACCCGTAGGTGCCAGGCCGGGGCAGGTGGTGAGGGTGTGTGTGTGTAGTGGGGGGTCCCCTCTAGGGGTGGGGACAGCTGATCCCAGCCAGCCCACATGGGCTACTCTGCACATTCCCAGATCTTCCCCGATGGGCAGTACTTCCACCTGCGGCACCGGGGCATGGTCCAGCAGGCCCTGACCCCGCACTGGGGCCACCATGTACGCCTCAAGAAAGAACCCAATGTGAGTATGCCCTCCCAGGGGAGCCCTGACCCCTGATGCTGTGTGTCGGGGTTAGACCCTCGTGTCCAGGGGGGCAGGGTCTGGGTCCCCCAGGCTGTGTCTGTGAGCTGTAGGCCAGCCAGCCAGCAGCCCCTGGATGGGGTCTGGGTCCCCCGGGCTGTGTCTGTGAGCTGTAGGCCAGCCAGCCAGCGGCCCCTGGATGGGGTGTGGGTCCCCCGGACTGGGTCTATGAGCAGCCCCTCCTGCCCCACACCCTGCCAGGTGCAGTGGTTCCAGCAGCAAACACTGCTGAGACGGGTCAAGCGCTCCCTTGCAATGCCCTCGGACCCTTGGTTCCGCCAGCAGTGGTACATGGTGAGCTGTGGGGTGTGCCCGTGGGGGGACGAGGTCCAGCCCCGTGCTGGCCCGCACTGACTGCTGGGGCTTTCTGACCCTGCACAGAACCAGGAGATGAAGTCGGATTTGAACGTGCTTCAGGTGTGGAATCAGGGCCTGACGGGTCAGGGCGTCGTGGTGTCCGTGCTGGATGATGGGATTGAGAAGGACCACCCTGATCTCTGGGCCAACTATGTGAGTGAGGAGTGGGCAGCCTGGGTAGGGGCTTCCCCCGGCTCTCAGCCCTGACCTGCCACCCTGCACGTGTCCACCACCCGCCCCAGGACCCCCTGGCCAGCTACGACTTCAATGATTATGACCCGGACCCTCAACCTCGTTACACGGCCAATGATGAGAACCGGTGAGCTTGGGTCCTGCGGGAGGGCCTGGCAGCAGCCCTGACACACAAAGCGACCATGATGGATGGCTTTGGCCCTGCCCACAGGCACGGGACCCGTTGTGCTGGAGAGGTGGCGGCCGCCGCCAACAACGGCTTCTGTGGTGCAGGCGTGGCCTTCAACGCCCGCATTGGAGGTACCCAGCGCGGTGGGGATGCTCCAGGGGGTCCCTGGGACAGGTGGAGGGGGCTGTGGCATGTACCCCCTTCTCCTGTAATCAGCCCAGGACTTTAGACCCCAGGACAGCGGGGGAAGCTGGCCAGTGAGTGATACAAGTGGAGGGGCAGGGCCAGCGTGAGGAGCCCAGAGCATTGATGTGGGGCGGGTCAGGGTGGGCATGGAGCATGTAGGGGTGCTAGGATGGGGCCTGTGGAGCATGTTGCACTCTGGGGGAGTCCGGTTGGAAGCTAGGGGCCGGCTGGGGCGTGGCTAGGGGCCTCCAACAGGCCCCCCACGACCCCCAGGAGTGCGCATGCTGGACGGGACCATCACGGACATCACCGAGGCGCAGTCACTGAGCCTGCAACCACAGCGCATCCACATCTACAGTGCGAGCTGGGGCCCCGAGGACGACGGCCGTACCGTGGACGGCCCGGGCCTCCTCACCCGCAAGGCCTTCTGGCATGGCGTGACCAAGGTGAGGAGGAACCGGTGACACCCGTACACGCACCCCGCAGCCCCCCACCCCACGGAGATGCCTGGCCCACACCAGCTGGCCAGCCAGCCAGCTGCCCACCGCCTCCTGCTCCTGCCCCAGGGCCGCGGCGGGCTGGGCACACTCTTCGTCTGGGCCTCTGGCAATGGTGGGCTGCATTACGACAACTGTAACTGCGACGGCTACACCAACAGCATCTACACGCTGTCGGTGGGCAGTGCCACACAGCAGGGCCACGTGCCCTGGTATAGCGAGGCCTGTGCATCCACCCTCACCACCACCTACAGCAGTGGCGTGGCCACCGACCCGCAGATCGTGAGTGCTGGGGAGGCGGGGCAGGGTCCAGAGGTGGGTCAGGCCTTCCCCCCACCAGGCCAGGCCACCCCATCCCCAGGCCTGGTTATCCCCACCCCCAGGACTGGCCTCCCCCATCCCCAGGCCTCGCTGCCCCCACCCCCAGGACTGGCCTCCCCCACCACCAGGCCTCGCTGCCCCCACCCCAGGACTGGCCTCCCCCACCCCCGGGCCTGGCTGCCCCCATCCCAGCCCCCTGTGTCCCGAATCTCCCCCACACAGCCCTGCACTCCTGACCTTCTGAACATGCATGCGCCCTGTCTTCACGATATACCCCGCCAAGGCACCCCAAGTCCTGCCCTACCTACGCCCAGGTCACCACAGACTTGCACCACCAGTGCACGGACAAGCACACGGGCACCTCGGCCTCAGCCCCACTGGCTGCCGGCATGATCGCCCTGGCACTGCAGGCCAAGTAGGTGACCGCCAGGGCATCTGCCCACCTGCCAGCCTTCCCATGCAGGACCCCCTGGCCCCCAGGGACAGGCCCCTGCTCACCCGGCCTTCCTGTCCCCAGCCCTTTCCTGACCTGGAGGGACATGCAGCACCTGGTGGTCCGTGCTTCCAAACCCGCCCAGCTTCAGGCTGAGGACTGGACGACAAACGGTGTGGGGCGCCAAGGTGGGGGGGACCCCAGAGCTGAGGGGCAGTGACGAGGTGGGGGGACCCTGGAGGTGGGGGGAATGCCAAAGTGTGCGGGACCCTGGAGCTGGGGGCGGGCAGTGCTGAGGTGTGAGGGACCCTGGAGGTGGGGGTGTGCCGAGGTATGTGGGACCCCAGCGCTGGGGGTACCCCAGTGCTGAGATGTGGGGGATCCAGGAGCTGGAAGGGTTACCATGGACCCCAGGCCGTGACAGGTGCGCCTCTACACAGTGAGCCATCACTATGGCTATGGGCTGCTAGACGCGGGACTGCTGGTGGACCTGGCCCGCAGATGGCTGCCCACCTGGTCCCAGAAGAAGTGTGTTATCCGGATCGTGCGCAGCCCCACGTGAGCCCCGATCCTGCCCCCTGTGTGATGGAGGAGGGGGCTGACACCTCGGGCCTGTCCCCTGTGTGTGTGATGGGAGGAGGGGGTGCACGCCCCGGGCCCTGCCCCCTGTGTGACCGAGGAGGGGGCTGACACCTCGGGCCTGTCCCCTGTGTGTGTGATGGGAGGAGGGGGTGCACGCCCCGGGCCCTGCCCCCTGTGTGGCGGAGAAGGGGGCGTATGCCCGGGTCTGCCCCCCCGTGTGACGGTCGCCCACGGCCCCCAGCCCCATCCTGCCGCGGATGCACGTGAGGCAGATCGTGTCCGCCTGCGTCGGCCACCACAACTTCATCCGCTCGCTGGAGCACGTGCAGGTGCAGCTGTGGCTGTCCTACAGCCGCCGTGGGGACCTGGAGATCTCCCTCACCAGCCCGCTGGGCACCCGCTCCACGCTCGTGGCCATCAGGTGAGGCTCGCCGCGGTTCCCGCCTCTGCCCAGCTGGCCCAGTGCTGCCCCATGCACACCAGGCTCTGTCCACGAGCACCTGCCCCACCCATCTGTCCCAGACCCCTAGATGTTAGTGACCAGGGCTACAAGAACTGGATCTTCATGTCCACGCACTTCTGGGACGAGGCCCCTCAGGGCCTGTGGACGCTGAGCCTGGAGAACAAGGGCTACTATTTCAACACGGGTGAGGGCCGGGTGGGGAAAGGGTGAGGGCTGGGCAGCACCGGGCAGGGGCTGGGTGGGCACACCATGGGTGCGCAGTGACCTGGGACAGGTGAGCATGCAGAGCCAGCACACAGTGACAGGGGAGCCGTACATGTGTCGGGGCACCGTTGGGGATGGAGCAGGGCCTCTGGTGGGGCCACGCTGCCCTCCGTCTGCCACCGTCCATGCCCTGCCCGCCGTGACCTTGCCTCAGGAACGCTGCGCCGCTACACACTGCTGCTTTATGGAACGGCCGAGGACATGACAGCGCGGCCCTCGGGCCCCCAGGTGACCGGGCAGTGAGGGACACAGAGGGCCGTGCTAGAGTGAGCAGCAGCTGCTGCCCAGCCAAGCAGACAGATGGATGCAAGTGTGGCCCAGGGCGGGTGGGAGGGTGGTGGGCGTGTCACGGTCCCTGGTCAACTAAGTCCGCACCACCCCCACCCTGCCCACCTTGCATAGAACACCTCCCACCCGCTGACACCCTCGGCCCACCCCACGTCTCCTCCCACGGGCGACAGCACCACCTCAGCGACACCCAGCAGGCGGTGACCACAGGGGCCTGGCACCTGGCCGTGTCTCCCCATGCATTGGACGCCTGCTCCCCACCTCTGTGTGAACAAGCCAGCAGCTGCTGACCATGACGGCCCAGCCGGGGGCCAGGACGCCGGCCCCAGAGAGAAGATGGGGTCAGTGGAACCTCCTGGTTCTGGGCGAGACAGAGGACAGAGAGAGGGCAGAGAAAGGAGGCCTGTTACATATTTTGGGGTGGGTGGGTTTGGGCCTGATGATGAACCTGCCCCAGTCCAGGAGCAGACAGGTGGAGGGACACGACCTGGACCCTCGGGCCAGCAGCTGGTCCCACTCTGGGGTTGCAAATAAAGGTTGCCTAGAAAGTGCCCCAGCACGTGGCTTCCTGGGGGTATGGTGGCAGGCACCGGCCGGAGCCCAGGAGGAGGGGAGCAGCTGGGAACTCGGGCTGAAGGCCGCAGGGAGCAGGCCAGGTCCACTGTGTGGGGTTGGGGTGGCACTTGGGCGCCCCAAGGAGGCCTGGTAGCCTGTCATGCACCCTCGTCACACCTCAGGGGAGTGTGTGCAGACCCCGGCTCACCCGCAAACCCAGTCCACAAGCCCCCTAAGAGAGGTGCCATTGGCGAGTCCACCGCCAAGGCAGCGTCGTTCGCCCGCGGCGCAGTGCGGGGCGCCCCCGGGGCCTGCCTTTGCGCAGGGTGAGCCCAGGGCTGCACCTGCAGACACCCGTCACGTCGGCTGGCGGCTGCGCGGCCCCTTTAAGGGGGCGGGGCCTGCCGGCGTCGCGTGCCGCGAGCGGGGCGAGACCGCGGCCGGAAGCGGGCGGCCGGAAGCGGAAGGCCGGACGTGGCGCTGAGAAGTGGCGGCTGCACCCCGTTCCCGTTCGGGGAGCCGCTTCCCGACACCGGCATGGGCTCCAAGGCCAAGAGGCGCGTGGCGCTGCCCACCCGCCCGGCGCCCCCCACGGTGGAGCAGATCCTGGAGGACGTGCGAGCCGCGCCGGCCGACGACCCGGTGTTCACGGCAGGTGGGGGCGCGGGGTGCTGAAAGGGTGAGAGGAGGTGAGGGTGCAGGGGTGGGAGGGGAGGTGAAGGGTGCAGGGGGTTGTGAGGGAGAGGTGAGGGGGTAGGGGAGTGTTGAGGGAGAGGTGAGGGGTGCAGGGAATGTGAATGAGGTGCGGGGTGCAGGGGAATGTTGAGGGAGAGATGAGGGGCGCAGGGGGGTGTGAGGGAGAGGTGAGGGGTGCAGGGGGGTGTGAGGGAGAGGTGAGGGGCGCAGGGGCGTGTGAGTGAGAGGTGAGGGTTGCAGGGGGGTGTGAGGGAGAGGTGGGGGTGCAGGGGGGTTGTGAGGGAGAGGTGAGGGGCGCAGGGGGTGTGAGGGAGAGGTGAGGGGTGCAGGGGCGTGTGAGGGAGAGGTGAGGGGCGCAGGGTGTGTGAGGGAGAGGTGAGGGGCGCAGGGGCGTGTGAGGGAGAGGTGAGGGGCGCAGGGTGTGTGAGGGAGAGGTGAGGGTTGCAGGGGGGTGTGAGGGAGAGGTGAGGGGTGCAGGGGCGTGTGAGGGAGAGGTGAGGGGTGCGGGGGGTGTGAGGGAGAGGTGAGGGGTGCAGGGGAGTGTGAGGAGAGTGAGGGTGCAGGGGGTGTGAGGAGAGGTGGGGTGCAGGGGGTGTGAGGGAGAGGTGAGGGGTGCAGGGGCGTGTTGAGGGAGAGGTGAGGGGTGCAGGGGGTTGTGAGGGAGAGGTGAGGGGTGCAGGGGGGTGTGAGGGAGAGGTGAGGAGTGCAGGGGCGTGTGAGGGAGAGGTGAGGGGTGCAGGGGGGTGTGAGTGAGAGGTGAGGGGTGCAGGGGCGTGTGAGGGAGAGGTGAGGGGTACAGGGGGTTGTGAGGGAGAGGTGAGGGGTGCAGGGGGTGTTAGAGTCCGGGCTAAAGCCCCTGGTCTCAGGGTGCGAGCCAGTCAAGCCCCAGAGAACGACCAAGAGTCTCGCTGGTAATGCAAACAGCAAACAGTGTATTGCGCCAGCGTGCTGGGCCAGACCGCACCGGGGGCACGCAGGCCAGCCAAGCGGGGCGGTCGGACCCCGAGCAGCCCAAGACAGAAGCTTCTCTAGGCGCTTCTGGGCTGGGAAATTCATCAGAAGGCAGGCCCAGGCAGCCTGTTCTGTTCCTGTACCCGTTATCTATGGCTCATCCCATCCCCACACCCTGCTCTTCCTCCTGTTCCTGGGACCGGCGAAGAATGGTGCCCTTGCCCCCCTGCACCTGGATGCACAAAGCTGCGGGACAGCAAAGAACGGATTTATCACTAACGCGGAATCCTCCCAAGCTCCAGGCTCCTCCTGGCCTGGCAAAGCAGCAGTTTTCTCTACACAAAGGAACCTCACACTGCCCAACAATAGCATTTTACCCACACTCTAACAGTGTGGGAGAGAGATGAGGGGTGCAGGTGTGTGAGGGAGGGGTGAGGGGGAATGTGAGGAGAATGTTGGGGGTGCTAGAAAGTTGAGTGTGGGGGTGCAGGGGTTGCTGCATACACAGTGAGGGGTGCAGGGAGCTGCGGGGAGTCAGGGAGGGGGTGGCAGGGGGCACTGCGGGCCAGCCCCAGTATCGGGGAGTCAGGGAGTGTCGGTGGGGGGGGCACTGCGGGCCCAGCCCCAGTATCTGGGAGTCAGGGAGGGAGTGTCGGGGGGCACTGCGGGCGCAGCCCCAGTATCGGGGAGTCAGGGAGTGTCGGTGGGGGGGGCACTGCGGGCCCAGCCCCAGTATCTGGGAGTCAGGGAGAGTGTGGCAGGGGGCACTGCGGGCGCAGCCCCAGTATCGGGGAATCAGGGAGGGGGTGGCAGGGGGCACTGCGGGCGCAGCCCCAGTATCTGGGAGTCAGGGAGAGGAGGGCAGGGGGCACTGCGGGCGCAGCCCCAGTATCTGGGAGTCAGGGAGAGGAGGGCAGGGGGCACTGCGGGCCCAGCCCCAGTATCTGGGAGTCAGGGAGAGGAGGGCAGGGGGCACTGCGGGCCCAGCCCCAGTATCTGGGAGTCAGGGAGAGGAGGGCAGGGGGCACTGCGGGCCCAGCCCCAGTATCTGGGAGTCAGGGAGAGGAGGGCAGGGGGCACTGCGGGCCCAGCCCCAGTATCTGGGAGTCAGGGAGAGGAGGGCAGGGGGCACTGCGGGCGCAGCCCCAGTATCGGGGAGTCAGGGAGGGAGTGTCGGGGGGCATTTTGGGCCCAGCCGAGCCCCTCATCGAGGTGACCGGGGTACTCTCCCCTGGAGCTGCGGGCGGTGAGTGTGGTGCCCGAGGGGGTCAGCCGCCCGTGTGCACAGCCTCCCTGCAGTCGGGGGCGCAGGGGGTCACAGCGGCCCTGACGCCCTGCCCGTCCGGCCCCCCAGGCGCCCCCCGGCCGACCGAGGACCCTGAGGCCCCGCGGGAGCAGCTGTACCTGCAGAGCCGAGCCTTCGTGGCGGCCAACGCGCGCCTGCAGCAGGCGGGCAAGGCGCTTGGACTGCGGTGCCAGGGCCTGCTGTGCGCGGGGCAGCAGCTGGAGCGCGACATGGACCAGCTGGCACGGGCCACGCTGCCCGGGGCCCCGGCTGCCTCCTCCGGCTGAGCCCGCCCAGCCTGGACACACCCAGGACTGACACCCACCCACCCAGGCAGCCTGGACACGCCCTGGGGTCACCCCAGGCTCACCCCCACCCACCCACCCGGCCTGGAGTCACCCCGGGGCTCACCCCCACCCACCCGGCCGGCCTGGGGTCACCCCGGGGCTCACCCCCACCCACCCACCCGGCCTGGGGTCACCCCGGGGCTCACCCCCACCCACCCACCCGGCCTGGGGTGACCCCGGGGCTCACCCCCACCCACCCACCCGGCCTGGGGTCACCCCGGGGCTCACCCCCACCCACCCACCCGGCCTGGGGTCACCCCGGGGCTCACCCCCACCCACCCACCCACCCGGCCTGGGGTCACCCCGGGGTTCACCCCCACCCACCCACCCACCCACCCACCCACCCGGCCTGGGGTGACCCTGGGGCTCACCCCCACCCACCCGGCCGGCCTGGGGTCACCCCGGGGCTCACCCCCACCCACCCACCTGGCCTAGGGTCACCCCGGGCTGACCCCCACCCACCACCCTCCGGTTTTGGGACACCCACCCCCCCGGTTTTGGGTCACCCATCCCACCTGGGCTCACCCCCACACCTCCACCCCGCCCGGCGTTGCCCCCTCCATCCTGCATGGAGCCTGTGGTCAGGGCCGGCGGGTGGTCAGCTTGCTTTATTTATTAAAGGTGGCGGCCCCGGGCCGGTCGGAGGAGCAGCTATGTACACGCGGGCTGGGGGGGCCTGGAGAGGCGGCGCTTGCTGGTGGGCGCAGGCGGTGGTCCACGACCACCGGGGTGGGGAAGCAGGGGGGCTGCGCTGCCAGCTGTCCAGGGTCGCAGCGTGGGGTGGCAGTTTCTGCAAGCCAGGGCTTGGTTCTGGGTGCCCACCTGGTGGGTCAGCAGGCGGCGTGGCGCGTGGGGTGCCCCGGCTGTTCCTGTGGCGTGCGCGGTGCTGCGGAAGGAGCCGTGGGGGCTCTGGGGTCCCTCCCAGGGCTGGGGGCCTGCGGCTGTTTGACCGAGGCGCCCTACCTGGCTGGGGGGGCCCTGGGTAGGATGATGGGGTGCCTGGGGAGGGCGGGTGCTGCAGGTGGAGGTCGCTGGCTCCCTGCAGTGGACGGGGGGGTGGGGGGTGGGAGCGCACGGGCTCTGGTGGGTTCAGGACCCCGAGTCCTCTGGCGGCCAGTCCCTCGGCAGGGACCGCTGGCCTCACGGGGGACCGGCCCTCGTCTCCGGGCCGGCCCGGCCTCCTCTCTCCGCTCTGCCTGGGCTGGGCCCCGCGCGGCGCGGCCCTGGCAGCCCACGCGCATCCGGAGGCCAGGCCTCCGCGAGCCGGGCCGGGCTGCCTGCGTGGCGCGTGTGCTCGGCGTGTCCCGTGGGCCGCGGGCTACTCCACGAGGCCGGCGGGGGCCGCGGCGGGCGCCTTCTCCACGGCCGAGTCGGGGGCCGCCGCCGTCGCCATGGGGCTGGGCACGTAGTTGAAGGGCGGCACTCGCGCCGCGCGGCTGGGGGAGCCGTGCCTGCTGGCGGGGAAGCCGCCCACGCCCTCGTGGGCGAAGGGTGCCGAGGCTGGCCCCTTGGGCAGCGGGGACCCGTCCACGTCGCTGCCCAGGAAGGGAGCCGGGTGGCCGGCCGGGGCCTGGGAGAGCTCCCTGCTCTCCAGGCTGGGGGACGTGCTCGAGTTGGCCTTGGGCTGGGCCACCTCCTCCGTCTGCACCACGGCGTCGCTGGTTTTGCGCGGCGGGGGCGTCGAGGGGCCGGGGGCCTGGTCGTCCCCGTCGGGCGAGGGGCCCCGCAGCGGCAGGGCGCTGGGAGGCAGCGTGCTGCGCAGGATGTGCGGGACATCCTCGTCGCGGATGCGCCTCCACGTGGTGCCCGGCGCGGCCACCCTGGGCAGCAGCAGCGGGCGCGCCTCTCCGGCGCTGCCTCTGCGCTGGGCGCCTTGCGGGGCCGCGGGGGCCGCGCCGTCGGGCCTGCGGGCCACGCTGATGTGCGGAAGGGACGAGTAGCGCTTGACGGCCTCGGGGCGCGCGGGGGGCGCACGCACCGGCAGGCGCGAGGGGCTCTCGGAGCTGGGACGCCGTGCGGGCCGCGGGCCGGGCGCCGCCACCGGGGGCTGCTGGGGAGCCGCCCGCAGCTCGTCGCAGCGCGAGGAGCAGAGGAAGACGGCGGGCAGAGGGGGCCGGCCGCGACGGGGCGATGCGCCCGGGGACGACGACAGCTCGGAGCGCCGGCGCCGCAGCGAGCCCGGCGACTCCTTGATGAAAGTCAGCTGCCGTCGGAAGCCCGAGCGCTCCGACGACTCGCTGCCGCTGGAGCGCGCCGAGGCCACGCGCACCAGGCCCAGGCGACCCCCGCGCGCCCCGTCGGGCCCCGCGCGGCCTCGGGGACCCGGCTCTGGAGGGGCCGGCCTGGCCAGCGGCGGCGGCCCTCGGCGGGCAGGCTTCTGCATGAAGGGGATGCGCACGGGCGACTTCTGTGTTTTGTGCTGCTTGGCCAGCAGGGCCCGCGCGGGAGTCTTGGGCACCCCGGAGGAAGAGGCGGCGGCCCCCGGGGGGCTGGGCAGGGACCCCGTCCCCGGGGTGGCTGTGGGCGACTTCCTGGGCAGGGGCTGGGAGGCGGGCGACGTCTGGGAGGAACTGGAGGAGGGGGTCTTGGCCAGGCGGGCAGGTGGCGTGGCGCTCCTCGGGGGGCGGCTCAGCGCCGCCAGCTCCGAGATCTTGCCCGGCCGGTGCAGGCTGCGCGAGCGCTGCTGCCCGGGAGCCGGTGTTGGGCCGGGAGCCACCGACTGGCCCGGGCTGGGTGGCCCTGCCTTCCTCGGGGTGGCCCGGGGGCCGGGGACAGCCTTGGGTTGGGGCCGGGCAGCAGGGCTGGGTACATAGATCACAGTCCGTCCCCGGAGAACGGCCGGTGCCCCTGAGCCCCTCTTGGTTGGGCCACGTGACTTGTCAGGGTCCCCCGGGGAGCGCAGACCCCCGCTGCCCTTGGCTGGCGCAGGGCGCCGTTTCTCTGGCCGCCGGGCACTGCCCTGACCGGCCCCTGCCCCAGGCTGTCGCCCGTTCCTGTGCTTTGAGGGCTGCGGGGAGGGGCCCATGGACAGCCCCGAACCCAGGGACAGGAGGGAGTCGGACTCGGAGGAGGCCTCGCTGGGGGCCGCGACGGCCGCCTGGTGCAGCCACGTCACGATGGAGTTGGCGCCCTCCTGGATGGCACGCCAGTCGACGCTATCCAGGTCGGACGCCCGGTCCGAGCCGGCCGCCTCCTCGGCCTCCTGGGCGGGTGGCCGCTTGTCCTGCCCGGCAGCCGGGGCCTTGCGCCGGCGTGGCCCGTTGGCAGGGGGCCGGCGCCTGGGCAGGGCCGAGCCAATGCACCTCCGCAGCAGCTCCTCCTCGGAGCGCAGGCTGGGTGAGCCATGGTGCCCGCCACCCAGGCGCTGGGTGCCCGCGGGCTCCTGGCCTCGTGGGCGGCGGGCCGGCCGTGTGCTGGGCTCCGGCTCCGGCTCCGGTTCGCTCAGGGAGCTGGCCGAGGAGCTGAGCGAGTAGCAGGGTGGGGTCTCGTCCACAATCAGTCTGGGCTGGGCCCTGGGTACCTGCTGCGCGGGGGGCACCCAGGCCTCCCTGCTTCCCGCCTGGCGCTCCCTCTTGACAGCCCGCGGGATGGCAGAGGCCCTGGGTGGCGTGGGAGACGCAGGGGGTGCCTCGTCTGAGTCGTAAAAGCAATATACGGCCTCCTCCGTGGGAGTCGTGAGACACAGGGGCTGCCGCCCGCCCCCTGTCCCGGGAACGCGGCCGGGGCCTGAACCCTCCCGCTCGGAGCGGGCACTCGGGGGCCGGCTCAGGGGCAGCTCCAGGCCCGCCCTGCTCCTGCCCGTGCCGGCCTTGGGCCGGTGCCCGGTGGCCTGCGTGGTGGGGGGCTTGTGCACCTCACCCCGAGGCGGCTGCTCCTTTGGGGGGCCCTGCAGCGTCTCATCGCTGAGGGAGGCAGCACCGGAGAAGTTGACGGGCGTGCCCTCGGCCGAGTCACTGCCAGAGTCCTCGTCGCCAGGGGCCGGGGCGGGCACCAGCATGTAGACGGGCACGGGCAGTGTCCGGCGGCCGGGCACCAGCGCCGAGGCCACCTTGCGGAGCCGTGCGGGCACAGCCGTGCCCAGACACTCGCGCAGCAGCTGCAGCTCCTGGTCGGCGGCCGAGCGGGTGCGGGAGCCCGCGGGCACCGCTGTCTCAGGGCGGCCGGAGGGTTCGTCTCGCCGTCCCCGGTGACCGGTGCCCGCGTGGCGCTCGGGGCAGCCCTGGGGCAGCAGGCGCAGCTCCACGTCCTGCTGGACGTAGTGTTCGTGCAGGGCCAGCGCGCTGAGGCTCGAGGCGCATGAGAAGTTCTCGTCGGGTTTCTCGAGCGTGAAGCGCACGCTGCCCGCGTCCAGCTCGGAGGGCAGGCGGCAGCGCTCACGGCAGTCGGCGATGTCCAGGAAACGCTTCACGTAGCTCTCCCAGCGCAGGCTGAAGGGGCTGCTCTCGGGCTGGCCCGGCGGCGCGGCCGGCGGCGTCTTGCTGCGGCTGGGGGGCATGGTCTGGCCCGGGCTGTCGGGCAGCTCGCTGGGACTCACGGTGCCGCTGCCCAGGCCGCTGCACGGCTCGCTGGGGATGGAACTGGCGATGGAAGGGCTCTCGAAGCTGCCCAGGGAGCTCACGGAGCTGCAGCGGCTCAGCACCAGCGGCGTCTCCTGCACGCAGTTCTCCGAGGAGCTGGATGGCGTGGCATCCTCCACGCCCGAGCCACGGCCACCACGGCCCCGCTGTGGGGGCGCCGGGATGGCCACGGGCAGGGAGGCTGCCCCTGGCTCGCGCCATGCTCCGTCCAGCTCAGCCTCTCCAGGGCCCGGTTCCTCCAGCCCCTCGAGCGAGGAGTCGCTGTCCAGGTCGGCGCCCGGGCGTCCAGCCGAGGACAGGGACGACAGGGAGGAGCAGCGAGATAGTGACAGGGGTCCTTCCTGCGCCAGCAGCCTCTGCAGGGCCTTGCTGGCCGCGGGCAGCGGCGCCGCCACCAGCTTCTCGGGCACCTGGCGCAGG